TCCGCGCGGGTCGGTGCCCCCCCCCCCCCCCCCCCAGCCTGCCCATGGACCCTTCGAGACGCCCTGATCCCACCAAACCCTCCAGGACCCCAGCAACACCCTGCAGATCCCTCCTGATGCCACCTGCCTCTCCATCCCTCCTGCAGATCCCACCTGCCCCCCCCATCCCCTCACATCACTCCCATAAACACTGCCTGCTCCCCCGTCTATCCTGAGGACCACCGATTCCGCCCTCCGAGCCTGCTTACTCCCCCCATCCCATTTACCTTTGATTGGGTGGCCATTTTTAACACAGTCTAACTTCCCCAAATGTCTGTACCTAGCCTTAGTGCCAATCAGGGTTGCAATAGTCTGTTTTTGTGAACACTGGTTCTTCAGGAACTGGATCAAAGCAGTATTTCCACTAAGGATGTTCATTAGTATCTCATGATTAGCAAATATACTTTTATTTTTCTATTTCAGAAGAGATTGCTTAGCCAGAATATAGTTAGCTATATTTAAAATGATCAACCAAAACCTATTATTCATCACTGGGTTTTATTCATACTCATAGATTAAAACAAATATTTGCTTTTAAAAAAAATAAATATAAATCAAACTTTTTAAAAAGTCAGTCACCTATAAAGAATGTTTCCCTTCCTGACAGCATTTGTCCACATTCATTGCTAAAAAGATTACCTTGTGACAAAGTATTTATTTTTTCCTGTCTGGCACCTCAACAATCACAAGGAGCCAAATGAAGTCTTGACACAGGTCTTCAGGCTGTTACTCCCTTTGTGACTTCGCTCATCTTTAAAGTGGACTTTAAAGGTAAGTGGACTTACTGACTTCAACCAAGTTTAACAACTATCACCTCTTGATTAAACTTTTTCTGCAATACTCCTACACTTAACATCAGCTTTCTAGATAGGGCAATCCACATGCAGGATGGCACCCTACAAACCACCACAGACCACCATACTTACATCCAGCAATCATCCCCAGTACATGAAAAAAGCTGTAATCTGCAGTCAGGCCTTCAGATCCTGAGGAGAACACTTGCAATGCCTACCTGGCCAGCCTAAAATCTTCCAACAAGGACACTCCCATAGAGAAATAGGCCATAAAGCTAGAAGAGCTCTCCAAATACCATGCAATAACCTGCTACAATACAAGCACCACCCCCGTGACTACACGCCCTGGTGGTCACCGATCAACCCCACACCAGAACTGACCAGCCAGCTACAGTTGATACTAGGCAAAGACCAGATCCCAAGAGAAAACTTCCCAGCTCCTCTGCTCCTGGCTTTCAAAGAACCCCTTAACCTCGCCTAACTCACCATCAGAAGCAAACTCCCTACTGCCCAATAGACATCAAGTGGGATACAGAATTGCCTGAGCAAGAAATGCTTAACCTGTCAACACATCTCCACTGCTACTACAATCAACACTCCCCAAAACGAGCCCATCAGAATCCATGGATCCTACACATGCCTCTCTCAAAGAGTGATATACCTGATCCAATGCACCAAATGTCCTCCTGGCTCCTGGGCAAGAGAAACTGTACACCAAAATAAACTCTCACAGAAAAAATAAAGGACATACATCATTAGGAGCACATTTCTCACAGAATAACCAGCTTTTCTTCTGCTAATTGCTTGTCTGCTACCCCTGGGAATTTCTCTCTCTCTCCCCACCTTCAAAGTGTTCTCTCTTATGCTGTGCTTGCTTTTACTGCTCAGACCTGAAGAATATCTTGCATACAAAACTAGGCAGTTGGTCAATAAAAGATATCACCCTAAGTAATCCTTGCCTCTTACAATTCCTGAACTTACACCACCCTAACACTACCTTATCTTTAAATGGTTTATAGTGCTAGGTAAACTTTCTACTGACGTCAGATACAATTGTAGTACAATTTACTTGGCAGCTGCTAAAATGTTTTCAAACTGTTACCATGCCTGAAGACAGCAATACGTGGAACAGCAATACACAACACCCCCTCAGGAATACATCCATTCAGAGATGTTTGTGGTGCTTTGGGATTCAGATGGGTTTCTAAATTTTGGCCCTGCTAGCAGGTCTGTCTGATGGCAGGCAAATAACCAGTATGTCCATCTCATTTGCTTTCTCTGTACACAAAGTAACTCATGCTTACCCCTCAAGGACATGACAAGGACAGGCAGGTGCGAGACATGCCAAACACTTGGCTAAACATGGGCTAAAAACAGACAACCAGTTTAACTCGGAGCTATCCCAGGCTTTGACTTGCATTAAAATAGTTGTGTGACAATACATAAGAATTGCCACCGTCTGGGTCAAACGATAGATCTATATCGCCCAGTGTCCTGTATCATACCGCACAACCCAGACACCTGCCCCTTCTGATCAGAGGAAGACCCTGGCGCTCACCTACCTGCTGAAGACACGAGGCTGCAGCCCCTTCACCACCTCCTCCAAAGCCTCCTGCTGTGGTTTTGACTGCACTTCTCCCTGCACCTTTTTTCTCACGGGCTTCCTGTCCACGACCCCACCAAGTCCCGGGACCAGCTGGTCAACCTCCTCCTGGCTCTGGCCAAGCTGACCATCTATAAGACCAAGAAGCAGGCTCTGGCCAAGAGGAACCCAGGTGAGTGGAGGGCTGCTTTCCTGGCACTCCTCTGCTCACATCTCCAGGCAGTTTCACTGCTCAGCATCCACAGGCTCCCTTGACTCCTTCAGGGGGCAGTGGGCGCTGGCCAGTGCGCTCTGCTTGGTGTCTCCCTCTGAATCTCTAGTTATTAACCTATGACCTCAGTCCCGTTCCCGTTTTCTTTTTTGTTGCCCCAAGCAATTAGTTGGTATGTCCCCAGTGGCCTCCCATCTTAAGGGGAGCTTATAGATTTCATGATGGGCCAGGGCCGATGAGTTCATGACATATTAAAGGGGACAGTATCACACCACACACCCCTTCCCTGCCCCATACCTGCCCCTTCTGAGCAGAGGAAAACCCTGGTGCAAACCTACCTGCTGCAGGCACCAGCTCCTTCACCCGCACCCCCAGACGCTCCCGCTGCAGTTCTGGCTGCAGGACTCCCCACCCCTGGCCCCGCTAAATCCTCAGACCTCCTGGTCAACTTTACCTGGCCACAGCTAAGCTTGTGATCTACCTCACCAGGAAGGAGGCTCTGGCAAGGGGGTGCCGCGGGGTCCTTGGTCCCTGGGCCATTCCCGTCTCCAAGCCGGTCTTCACCGGGCAGCGTCCGCCAGCCCCCTGGACTCGTTTGGGAGCCCCGGCATTGCCAACTCTCGTGATTTTTGACGTTGTTCTTAAGGTCCACGCTCCGGGAACGTAAAAAACAGCTCTTCCATTTATATATCTACACAAATACATATATATATATATATATACACACACACACACACACACACACACACACAAGAAAGAGAAAAGTTGCTCACATTCCCGGTGTGTAGACTTTAAGAACAACGTCAACATTTCACGAGAGTTGGCAACGCTGGAGGGTGCTGCCCAGTGCTCTCTACTTGGTGCCCTTGTTTTAAACCTTCCCTCCCATCCGTTTTGTCTTTTATTTGTCCCAAGCCAGACGCGCCCTGAGCGGCCCCCTCAGCACAGGGGCAGGGCGGGGCCGGGGCCGGGGCCGCTCCCCTGCACCCCTCGGGGTGGCACCGAGGCGCAGCCCCCGGGAGGGAGGCAGGGTCCCGAGGGGCTCTGCAGCCCGGGGAGGCGCGGGGCTG